ATTCATTTGATAAGATCACAACAGGTGGGAAACCTGAAAGCTAGATACAGTGTTTCTATTATTACCTTGTCACAGACTTTGAAGCTGGTGGGTGATTCAACTCACTAATTTCTGGCTCTTTAATGCCAGTATACTGTATGTCAAAGCCTAGGCTTTGTAAGTTTCAAATAACAGATTATTTTCAATGACATTGGAATAGGTTCACATGGTATTTCTACTTTAGAGCTCACAGAGGATGATTCATTAAAACTGGAGAACTAAAAATGACAGAATTGGAGTTGTTACTGATAGTGACCAATCAAAATGCTCATTCACTGTATCCAGCTGGACCGGAAAAGTTGCTGTTGTCAACCACTCAACTTTTTTTCTAATTTTCTCTTTTCTCATTTCTTTTAAAGTTTGCACAATAGCTGCAAACATAAGTTGTTTATACAGTATTTATATTCAAAGAATCTTTGGTGAGTTTTGTTATACATCTTATTATTCCTTTCTGCAATATTCACTAGCTCAGACCAAGGAAGTGAATAAAATGTTCACCTAACGTGTCCCACTGAAGCATCTATAGCAGAACCTTTGATACAGACAAAATTGTAATCCTACTGGGGCTGTTATATCTCCACGCTCAGCCTGCCTTGGTTAAGTAAGGAGCTAATGATTTTTCCAGAGATATGACACAGTTGTGGTAGAAATCTGCAGCTGTGATGTATTCTTCCTTTAGCTCTTTCTTGTCAGGGTGACTTTGTTATATTACTTTTTAAAGGAAACTATTGAAGGAATGTAATTGTAGAAATACAGTATATGAAAGGCAATTTTAAATATACTGTAAATGTTCTAAAAAAGCGGACCTTTCCCCTTTGACTAAAAATCACATCCGCATGCAGCTCTGCATGCTGATATGAAATCATCTTTCATTTATTAGCTAAACAAATTTTTATTTTTATTTTACATACAATTTCTTTTTTTCTACTTCCTGGTCCACTTTGGCCTGGGAAACATCAGTAACATCAGCAGAGCATTGCTGGGAAATCTCATCTGTAATCTCACTAGATGTCAGGGAAAGACATTTTCCTCCCCTGAGATAATGTGCCTAGATAATGTCCTAGTCACATGTGCCAGAGTTCCAGCAAGTAAAGGAAGATAGATCTTCCAATGGTAAAAATAGACACCATGAGAAGAATGGGGGAATAGAAAAATAAGGTATGCAAAAAATAAAAAGCCTGTAATTATCTAGAAGTATCTGTTTGTAGATTGTAATTACTAAACCTGTCTAAAGGTGCCCTTGTTGTTATTTTGAAGATAAGGGTAAGTTCCTCTTTAAAGAAGCACTGCATCAATACAGTCACACATTTAAAAAACTATTGGGAATGTGCTTCATGTCCATCCTGATTTTAGTCAAGCTTTGTTTACACTTTTTTACTTCCTTCAAAATCTATATATTGACCCGTCATGTCACCATGTTTCTGGTTCTGTTATACAGGATTCTATCCTCACTTTTACAGACCTTCTCTTTAAAGTGATACTAAACTCAGGAGCTTTATCTTAAAAATGCATTCAAGTATCTTAACTATTAACAAAAATGTATCTTATTTGTGAATCACTCAACTGTTGATCCTCAAATCATCTCTGAATTCATGCTGGCAGTGTCCTTCCTTCTGGAGGATGGCTACTTTTGTTCTCCATGGTCCCTGTGTGTGTTGTAAAGTAGCCACCACTCCAGGCTCACTCCCTTGATGGACTACAGTCTCACATGTAGTTAGCTCATTCATATTGAAGTTATAGTCTATCATGGGAGCAAGCTTGGGGTGATGACAGCTGAGTGCTATACAAAGCTTGTTGTCTGCTGCTAGTGCAGCAACTGAAATCATGGTCAAAAGGACTGGCACCATCATTACTGGAGAGCATTCATGGGAGTCTAAGCACTCAGGCCAGAACATCTCTGGGATATTTCTATGGAATAGTAGGATTGTTCAGGGGTTTCTGAAAAGGTGTTTTGCAGGCCCCAATCTTCAGATGGCTATTAAAAAAATATGAAAAATTTACGTTAAAAAATATAAAGCAAACCATTCAACTTTATGTAAATCATAAATCTACTTTACAGTAAGTTTTCCATCATGTCCCATTTTACACAGTTTTCCTTAAGTAGTACTAAGCATTCTCTGCATTAAGTTAAAAATAACTTCCTGGTTGTGGGGGAAGCTATTGAGAGCAGAGGAGCCATAGGCTTCTTCTGCCATCAGACAGAGTGAATGGTGGAGGGAGCAGGGCCGTGGCTTGCCGCAGGCTGTCTGTGTCTATGGACGCACAGGGTCAGGCGTGGTCACAGCCCAGGAGCGCGCACGCACGGCTGTCTCCTCATGAGGAGACCCCCTTAACAAGAGGGGGGATGGGAGCAGTTTGGGGAACAACTGAAGGACATTTTAAGAAAAGCACCTTAAAAAAAATGAACTGCAAAATCATGTAAGTGTGGGCTTTCTCCTGGCTTAGTGTTATCAGACTGCAGTCCACACATTTCACATTATCTGTATGAACAAAATGTATAATAAACCAACTAGAAAAAGAAGAAAAAGGGGACAAAGAGATGCTTCTTTAATTTATATATTCTACCTATCTATGCATATCTACATGAGGATGGGATAGGTAAACACTTTTGGAATATATTCTATATGTATATTTTTTTTTATTTTTTTTATTTTAACGACAATGTTCTATATGTATATTGATTGCAATGCCAACAGCTGCTAAGTGCAAACAGATATAATTTGACTTGTTGGGCTTGGACTTCATGTTGTTGTGAACTGACAACTAGAGACAGAAAGCAGGTAAGATATTATAAAGAGTTTTGCTGAGGTATGGAAAAAAGTATTTAAAAAAAATGTGTGCAGTAGCTGGTAACAGTAGCAGCTGCCATATGCTTAGGAGCCGTTGGGTTTGGGGCCAATTAAACTTTGCACTGCTTGTTGTTGTGCTCTGGCTACTGGAGGAAGTATTGTGGGTGGCCTTCTTTACCATGTGCAGGATATAGCAGGAAAACAGAGCTGCTTAAAAAAAAAGGGAGTATTAGTTACACAAGGGCATAATGATGTCACGTGCCCTTATGTACCCTCTGTACACTTTAGAATTATTCTCAATGGGTACAGCTTTAGCTGCCTGTGAGCGAGTACAACAATATTAATAAAGCGCAAAGCTGTCCTTTCTTCCATGGTAAATTGATTATAAGTAGTCTGCTAAACTGAAATAAACGTCATATTGTTTCACTAGATAATTAATTTTTGACAGCCTTTCAGATTACATTGCCCATTGGCAATGAATTTATAGCGCTGTGATTATTATTTTAATGCTTTCTTTTTATTTCAAATATATAGCAAACATTTTGGAGAATCCTGTGTGTTTCTCTGTTTGTTTTTATAATTCTAGGAAGGTGCAGGGTACAAAAGGTAAACTAATTGGCATATGTATTGGAGATATCGTGCAAGTCAAAAATAGATTTGTGAAATCATTTTGTTAGAAAAATCTATATTTTAGTCAAATTTCCAGAGGTGCAGTGTGAAAATTGTGAGCATTTTCAATTTGAGGATTCAAGAGAAAAAACTTGAAATATTTCCCTTCATAAAGCTTGGTGATTAAAACTGACCAACCACAATTTATTTTAGGGTGGGGGGCTTGTGCCTATGAGGCACTGGCTGGCAGGTTTGTGTATGGTGTATATGTATCACCTAGGTTTCTCACCAACACACGATAAGTGCCTCTTGAGTTGATAGCGGGTAGAATAAACACATTTGTTGTTTTCTCAGAATCTTAATAAGTCCTGTTCTGGGTCTTGGAGCTGGGCAGCTTCATAGAGCTTTGGGTGGGAATAAGCCCCCCATCCTAGGTCCACATCTTACCTAGTGGCCAGACCGTAATATTTGTCCCAGGCCTTTAGATATGTGAGCTGACTGATGCTTAGTGCACTTGTATTTCATTGAGAACTGCAAGTCTCACTCGTTTCCCAGATCCTTCCAGATTTGAAAATTAGCAGCAGCCTGCGGGGAGCAGAACCCAACGATTCAAGTAAGTAGGGGGGTGGGGAGGTAACAATGTCACCATGTTTCACATTGAACATGGGTGCAACATGAAACATAGTAGAAAAGGTAAAACTTAACCTTGAAAGAACCGGTGGTGGAGACTGTAGTGGTAGGGGACTGAAAGCCTGGCTCAGTCATGTCAGTAATGGAGAAGGGCACTTTTATAAGGTAACAGTGCCATAATGTACTAGTATGCTGTGTATACTTGCACCTTATGGCAAGAGCAAGCCTACCCCAACCACCAAGTTGACTGTAGTTTTTTATATTCTGTCTCAGGAATCTAATCTGTGGAATTTTACACTTTCTCAGATTATCCTGCAGCCTTCCCTACCCACTCTCCCACGTCTTCCTAAGGACCTGCCATTTCACTGGAATAGCCAGTAGGAAGGTGTGGAACGCCAGCCGTCATGGTATAATTTTTTTTTTTCTTGTCCGGTTTACTTTAAATAAACCGAAGGGAAGAAGACTTTCAGTGAACTTGTATTCATTATCTCTTTCTTTTTACTTCCCACGTTATCTGGTGAAGTTTCCCTATTGTTAAGGTTATATGCAAATTAATTCCACATTTATTGATAGGCAGGTAGAATAGGATGATTATTCCTTTCTCTGTGTATTAAAATCTCTGCCTGTTACAGTAATTATTAATGTTATAATTAAAACATGATTGCGAAAACAGAAATTATTATTGTCAGACCAACCCCCCCCCCCCCAAGTTATCTTGCAATTTTTCACAGACATATTTACTTATTATTAAAAAAAAGCAAAATAATTTTATAATTTGTACTGCCGCTTGTATGTTGTTCTAGGCCTTAAAATAAATATAAAAACTATGCATTCCTAGGTGTAAATTAATACCACAAACAATGTATTTAAATGCTCTATATATCCATTTAATTGAAATTACTCAGTGTCTGTTTTTTTCTCCCCTTCTTTCAGGACTATACACTGACAATGTACTTTCAGCAGGCATGGAGAGATAAAAGGCTTTCTTATTCTGTGATTCCTTTAAATTTGACCTTGGACAATAGAGTGGCAGATCAGCTGTGGGTTCCTGATACATACTTTCTAAATGACAAGAAGTCTTTTGTTCACGGTGTTACAGTCAAGAACAGAATGATTCGCTTGCATCCTGATGGCACAGTATTGTATGGTCTAAGGTCAGTCTGTAATATATACTTGTACTAGATTGCATGGTTTCCATTTCCGAATGTTGACATTATTACTTGTCAAATATATGTTTGTATACAAAACATTCAGCCTTGCACATGTTCAATAATATGCATAATTTTGGTATATCATAGCTTTAAATGGACTCCATGTTTGGATTAGTGATATGCATTTTTCCAATGTAAATGTTGGTTAAACTTAGTTTAGTATTCTGGCTAGTTTCTGGGAAGGTGTTGGTACGTGCCTTTTTGTTGGCCAGTTGTCTACGCTGTGTGCAATATTTCAGCTTAATCGCAATATTACATCTTCCCAGGTTAGTCCCAGTATGGTCTAAAAGAACTCAGTTGTTAATCAGAAACAAGGTGACCATAATAAGCCACTAAGAGCTTCTATTACTGCCTAAGCTAAAAAAACAAAACACTTTGCTAAATGCAATAGCAAATATGTATTCACTGAAAATAGTTAGTTTTCCTTTTAATGGTAATTGTACTTTTTATGAACTAACAATGTATCTGCTACCACTGTCACCACATGTCCTGGTTACAAGTGCTGGGATAAAGAGAAGAGATATAATGTATACCATGCTACAGTTAATGTTGCATGTAAAGTTGGCATGTGTCATACATAATTATGGGTAACATGTTTACTGAAAATCCTTTTGGACTCTTTTCCACAGATTCTGGTTTAGCTGGATTTGAAGCTGCAATTCCAAATTTTTCCAGCTGATGGCAAAATCTGACATTGCTGGTTCTTCACTCTAAAACAAATTATGCATACTTTCTACTTATGTCTTAACAATAGCAATTTACATTCATGCATTATAAAAAAAAGTGGTTTTAAAACTAAAGTTGGTATGTTTTTAGTTAGTTAAGACTGTATTTTTATTTCTGATGCTTTATCTAATGTTTTTACTATTCATAGAAAATCTTTATTTTACAAACATTATACATGATACACCCATGACACAGGATTTACAGAACATTATAGGTTTCAAAAGAAAGACTACAGCAGAAACTGTTTTATTTCTGTCTTTTTCTCTAATTAAAAGTTTGTAAAGAGCAGGGAGAAGAGATGGTTCACACCTCTAATTGATTCAGCTATGTATATACATTTCAGGTTTAGCGGTTACATTCTGTAAACAACAGGCTTTAATCCAACAAAGATTTGACTGGCAAACGTAAAAAAAGAGACACGATGGCTAGAAATCGTAAATATGTAATATTCATTGAATTTCATATTTACTTATATTTACTTGACTAAAAATGTTTACACTTTAATTATTTATTTATTGATCATACAGAAAATACATACCAAAAACACTTTAAATGTCCATTAAATACACAGTTACACAAAGAACACTGCTAACATGGGAATTCATGCAGTTTGTGATGCAGAAATGGCATGCAGATTTAAAATGTGCCTGTCCCTCTCTTTGGTACATTTTAAGGCCACAAGTGAGAGATTAAAATTGAACAGAACTCTAAACTTACAAATTAGCCTAAATTATCCCCATTGATTGTAATAATGGAATGTTTAACCTTTAGTTTACAAGTCTGTTTCCCATTAGTACAACTATTTTGTCTGTAGTATATTGACTGACTGGTAGTGTAATGTTTTTATTTTCTCTAATTCAATTTGTTAGATGCTTTTACTTTAATGTGTTCTGTGTAGCACAGTGCCATCTAGTTTACAATAGTTAAAGTGTAGCTAAACCAATAACAGTATATATAGATATCTATATATATATATAAAAGTTTACATTTTCTTTGATGTGATGGCTGCATTTGTTTTCTTATTTCATACTAAGTAGTACATCAAAATCTGAAATAATGTTATCAGCATTTAAAGCTGTCTTCTGTAATCTACACAACTACAGGAGAGGGGGCCTTTTTTGTAGTCTGAATACAGAGAACAGCCTAGGTTGAAAACCTTGCTCCTCTATAGATAAAGTCCAATGAGTTAGCAGTTTCACCCTATGACAGGATAACCAAGTAGAAATAATGGAAAAAGGCCTTAAAAAAAGAACCTAATGCATATGTTACGGAACATCTACGGAATGTTATGCTGCAATGTTTATTTTAATTTTTTTATGGGTTTAGATATGCTTTGACCCTTTTGCTGCCAGTAATGGGTCCTGCACATCAGGGATCTGAAAAAGGTTCTTCCTATTGATAGTTTTGGGTACATAGCTTTTGCCGTTTTGCGTGTTCACACAGTTTTGAGTCTTGACATATTTGGTAGCTATTTACTTGACACAACCTCATCTTGTATTTTGTGCATAAACAAATTTGAATTATATTATGTTTGTGTGCACTAAAATAATTTTACTGTTTTTTTTACTGAAAATATAAATTTGAAACACTTGTGCAAATATTGTGTGACAAAAAATTGCAACTATTATTTTACACGGCTTACAGTATGTATTGGGGTTTTAAGTAATTTTCTAGGCAAACAATTGACTAATTGAAAACATATTAAAGTGTATAATGTCCACTATAAGTTTTGGATAGTATAGAAAGGTTAGAAATTCTGTCAGATGTGTATTGCAGTCTTTTTCTGCGAGGGGGAGATTTACCCTCTCTGTTTGTCTTGATGACCACTGTCAAAGGGACAGAAAGTGGGAATAACTCCCAGTGGGGACACCTGTCCAGAGGTTACTGTTTGGAGATTTCCCTTACTTCTACTTAGGATGGTGTTCTACAGTGCTTTTATTTTGCTAAAATACTGACAGAGTAAAAATAAAGATTATGCTGGATAATAACCCAAAAAAGATTATGTGCATTTATGTAACTTTCTTCCTATTCATGAGTGACTAGAAGTGAGCTAATTTGTTAAAATGTGCTTTGCATTTGGGCACCTGAATGTGGTCCTGTGCTTTATTTTTAAGGGTCAGATATTTAGGCAGATCTATAGGCTTTAAGTAAATGTTTAATATAAAACATAACATGTCCCATAACACTTCCCGGATTCTCATTGTGTCTTGCATCTCTTTCCATGTTGCTTGATGTGATGCAATCTCAATTTCTAAAGACTACATAGCCTCCAGCAAACAATGATAATGTTACATTGCTCAGATGTTGAGTTGTATTTCAGATGGTAAGCTTTGTGAGAGTTGTCACACAAGGAATTGTATATTCACAGGGCTGCGTGAAATTGTTTCAATGCATTGAGGAGGTATATCATATGGCAATCTTCAATAAGTAAGTTTACAAACTTCTAGTTATATATCCACTAATATGGTTTTTAGGAGTAGGTTAGAACCTATGGAAATTCAGTATAGAATTACATTTTTTTTTTTACCACAGATAACCTTTAAGGGACCATGTTCCCTCTATTAGTAAGTGCATGAACGTCCTTACTTCTCACTGTCAAAGAGTTTAAAAAGACAGTAAAAATCCCCACCTAGGACAGGTAAATCATTTTGTCCAGCAGAGACATTTTCATACATATTTGAGCAGTCTAGATTTCCTCAGATCTGAGCTGAATCTAATTTTGGCAACACGATTTGTTCATCTCTGTTTCTGATTTGCCATTTGCTAAACTGATAACTTTTGTTATATATAATATTATTTATATATAAACAATGCAATTGTAAAACATCCCAAAAGAAAAAACAGCAGTATTGCTCTTCTGTCCAGTCTGTTCTGTCTATTCAGGATCTGCAGTAAATATCAGAGGCTTTTATGCTAAGGGAAGGTTTAATAACACAGATAGCTATTTCAATAGACATTGGATTCAAATTCCAAGCATGCTATTGTAATGCAATGTTCACCAAAGAGCGATGTAATTGCAGATGTATTATTTTTATTTGACTTGGAATGTCTCTCAGTTTGTATGTTTGTTTGTAGCTATTAGTAAAAAAAAATGTTTGGTGGCTAGTTATGCTATAGCTATGGCTAGCAGCACCTTGTTTTCTGTGCCACTGCTTTTGGTATGGATTTACAGTGGCTGAAAAGAAGGTAAAATATGTAGTACCCTTGCCCTGGCCCCTAAACTTAACCTGACCCTCAGGCTGACCCTGACTCTTAATTGTTCTCCCTCCTGAAATCTAGTTCTTAACCCCCAAAATCCACTATTAATATTTAACCTCCATACAAACACTTAACCACACCATGAATCTTTACACTTAAACTTTAAATAAAACTTGAACTTTAAATAATACATTTTAAACTAAAATATTGTTAGTGGTGTTTTGTTTGTTTGTTTTTTACCAGAAGATTTGCATGTCTCTTTACCTTTATTAATGTTTCAGATTTCTCTGAAAAAATACATGAAACCCGGTCATTCAGTATATTCAGGTAGGCAGCTGACTAATATTTTAGGCACATTACATTGCTGAACCTAGACCTATTAACCAATGAAAGGCTCTGACCTAAAATTAATTTTCAGGGTTTAATAGCAAAACATAGGGATAATAGCAGCATGTTTTATAATAAGAGGCTTACAGGGGAACACATTAAAGTAATATGCCCCTTTAGCAGTGACTTATAAAACCTGGACAAAATGGCAATTTTGACAATACATGGACCACAAACAGCATTTATATATTATATTAGGGCAACAAACAGTTATTGTTACAATTTGTGAGCAGCAAATAGGCAAGCATTACAATATATCGGCAGCAAACAGGCAATTATGACAAAAACAGGGCAAAAGTGTCAATATGCAGACAATGGGCCACTGTAATAATATATGGTCAACTCCCCTAGATTGAATCTAGCCACACCACAAAAAAATCCCCCTACCAAACTCCAAGAAAAAATCACCTTCTCTCTTACCACCATTCAAAAACTCATCAAACCTCAGGTGCAGAGTAGGTTCTGGCAAGGAGAGTGAAAGTTCTCCCAGGCTTTCTTATTACACCAATAAGAAGCTTCCCTTAGCTCTGTTGTGAGATCTGACAGGACAGGGCTGGCAAATATATACTTGCAAGGTGTACCAGGCTGAACACAGCACAGGAGTGTGTGTTGTTCTCTCTTGTACTCCTCCC